GCAATCATAATTATCTATCATACATACAACTACATAATCCACAAATGTTCCTGTAAATTATTAGTTTAGCTAAAATAAACCTATTTTACACTTATTACATACAGTTATCTATGATTATCTCGGAAATCTATTTACATTGCCAGATACAGAACTCTGGGCAATAGGCATCAAACTGATAAGTCAGTAATAATAGAACTAAACACTAACAATTCGCTATAGTCTTGAATAATGTACGATAGAGGACTAAATTCTTAATTGAATAATGTATCAGCATTAGCAAAATGCATAATTTACACTATTAGATCTACAATATGACCAGGTGATAGACGTGGTAAAAATTCATTTATATTATAGACCTATATCTGGTCTCTGCCTCTCATCACATATCCCAATCATTTTCCCATATTTCTCTTAGAAACTTCTCAGAACTTCCCTGTAGGTCTACTACTCTTCTCATGACACATTTTGGGAAATACATGACATGTCAAGGGGATAGTCTTGCATCTGCCCTAAATATCCTATGTTGTATAAGTTCCTGTATTAGAGATAAAGATGTGGCAATAAAGGAGGTGGGTGTAAGACTAACAAGGGGAGAAAAGATCAGAGATTCTGCACAATTCTATAGTCTCACATGGAGTCTCTTCTTATCAACTTCTTGACCTAGGCCCTAAGGCAGATAGAGAAAATTGGAAAAACAAAGGGACTTAGAGCAAGACTTCAATGCATTCTATATGTGCAGGCATTCATTCTAAAAAAATTAATGAGTTAAACTGAAGGCAACAGAATATGTAGAATGAATGATGCCTAATTTATTCATAATTGAATAACTCATTTCACCATCATATAAAATATTTAGATGACAGAATAGATATATCCTGTAATTGCTGAAGCTAAAAATCTTCGATTGCTTGGCTCCCTTTGGAATCGAGGCTGTGAAAATGCCATCAGCAAGACATTCACTCAAGACACTTACTCGGAACACTTTTTTATTTATTTCTTAGCAACAATTTAGTTTCTAAGATTAATCTTCATCAGCACACTAAATCAGCCTCCAGAGTGTTCATCTGTAGATGAGGAATGACTACAAACTTCATTTAACAGATTCTGTCCCTGGATCTGACAAAAACTATTGACTTCATGAAAAGAATTTATAATTAAGGTTATATGAGATTACCCTTTATCAAAATATAGTTCCCCTCTAAACATTAAAATTATTTTCAAATTTGAGTTAAGGACAGTAGAATATGTAAAAACTTTTAACAGGGTAAAAGCACAGCGGGAAAATGTCTAGAAAGCAAATATTAGCAAGCAAAAAACAGATAATGACAAGATAGATAAAAAGATAGATAAAAATATAGGTACATGTATTTTTTATTATAGAAGTTGGTCCAAGATTAATGATTTTCCACAATTCAGATTTATATCAACAATGGGTAGGTTTCAGCCTGTTGGTTGTATATAGCTTATATTTCGGGGTATTAATGTATCAACTAAATGGTATCTGGTCAACAGATAACTAGGAACCATCTAAATGAGCCCTTCTTTCATAGATATTATTTTTTCAAATGTTGAAGTATTCATACACTCAAAAGCACTCACAAGAAATATGAAAAAAGCCAGCTAGAATAAATATTTTATTTATATCATGGCATCATAATGTCTCTAGAAGAACTGCAATAATCAGATGATTTATAAATCCAATGTCCTTATCTGCAGTGAAAGTCATGAATTGCTGTAATAAATTACAAAAACAAAACGCTTTCAGTATTTTTACATATCTTTCATTGATTTTCCACTTGAAGCATGCCATAGAATTTGGTATAGATCAATTTCAGCCATCGGCTAAATTTCTGTAAAGGGTGTAAGTACAAATTCCATAAAATTGGTACAAATGTAGACATGTTATCTTAGAGCGGAACTACCTTTATGCAGTTGAACATTTCTGTTTTAATACTAAAACAGAAAAAGGGAATCACACATTGAGAGTATTTGTATATGAAAAGATAAGTTCAACTTGTTCATATGCAATGAATGAAACATTGATTTTACTATTTACATATCCCAAGGAAAACCACAACTGTTGGTTTTACAAATCATTCAATTTCATTTAAAGCTGCTTTAATCAGAAATCATCTTCCTTATATAGGCCATATAATATCTCACTTTTAAATGTAATGTAATTACTTTTTCATGAACTCATTGTATTCTAAAACGTTAGCTCAGAATTTCCTCATTACAAGGGGGTGCGGGTACTACACCCAACTGGGAAAGTGAAACTCCCTAGCACCCAGTTGATAATTCATTTGCAGCTACTCTTACATCAGAGCCATCTACCCTTCTCATTCTCCCCTAAAGTTTGAGCTTGAGAATGGGGACTACAGGGACTTGAAACAAGACTACATTACCACTTCTGAAAACCATTAGCTTAACTGGAAATTGTTGATTGGAAGTAGAGCTGGCATCGAATAGGATTTTAATGTCGACATGTCGGAGCTCTCGATTGACAACGATATCGACATTGTCGGGTCCAATGATATTCGAAAAATGAAAAATGAAAATTTGAAGAAAATCCGTCTAGTCTTCCTCAGTTGTATGTTTTATATTTAACTTACAGGTAAACCATGTTCAAGTATCAGACTATGACGAAAAAGCAATAAATAGACATAAAACTACGATTTTTGTTGTTATTTCTGGGCAGCCATTGAAAATAAATCTTGAGGGTAAATCTCGAGGGACCCGAGACCTAATTCGAGAGCAGGAAGTCGATCAAAACAAAAAAGAAAATTTGAAAATGTAGGCGGTAAAACTTCACTAAAATACACCATACAGCAGGTAGTAACAAAGATTTTAATTCATAGGGAAATAGCTTATTATGTTGTGAGTTCCGACTGTCAAACAAGAGGCGTTGTGTCGACATGGGTGTCGCAGAGAGCATTCGACTGACAATCGACCATTCCGACATTTGATGCCAGCTCTAATTGGAAGTCTTAATATTTTCTTCACTGAAACAATCTGCGTATAATCAACTATAGTTTGTTATATCATCGACACAAATTACAATACAATGTTACACCCATCCAATTTGTGAGTAAAGTCAGTGTGACTTGAGGCGTATGATTCGATTTCTAAATGACGCTTGCATCAAGGGATAACTCAACACTTGATCATGAAATGTCAAAGAGCATAAAACTGCCTCTCCTATCCAATTATTATAAGATTATTTGCTACTATCTTTCACTGCAACTATGCGAAGGACAATCAAAAGCTAAAAGGTTAATAATTATTGAGTAATGGTGAATTCATGTGGGAAATCAATGCAGTGTTCTCCAAAAGCATTATCTTCTACAGGAAGATGAAACATTTTGATTTTCAGCATTTTGGGATCAAGTTTATGGTTCAAATAACCACTCATCAAAAGATCTTTCTCCTATCCTAAGAGATCCATGGCTAGTGAACTACTATCTGACTAGGACCTGCCAATTTTTACCAGTTGTCATTCAAGCAATTTGAACAGTGATCTACATGTACACAGGGATTTTTCTGAGTATTACCTTATTCCTCGTTTTACCTATTTTGGTCAATACAGTATCTTTTATGTTTTCGACAGGGGGTCAAACAGATTTTAAACAGGATAGCATGTAATTTTTTATTTTCACAAGGTGTCATGTGATTTATGACTTTCAACAGGGTGTTATGTGATTTATGATTTTCAACAGGGTGTTATGTGATTTATGATTTTCAACAGGGTGTCATGTGATTTATGATTTTCAACAGGGTGTCATGTGATTTATGATTTTCAACAGGGTGTCATGTGATTTATGATTTTCAACAGGGTGTCATGTGATTTATGATTTTCAACAGGGTGCCATGTGATTTATGATTTTCAACAGGGTATTATGTGATTTATGATTTTCAACAGGGTGCCATGTGATTTATGATTTTCAACAGGGTGTTATGTGATTTATGATTTTCAACAGGGTATCACTTGATTCATGATTTTCAACAGGTTGTCATGTGATTTATGATTTTCAACAGGTTGTCATGTGATTTATGATTTTCAACAGGGTGTCATGTGATTTATGATTTTCAACAGGGTGTCATGTGATTTATGATTTTCAACAGGGTGTCATGTGATTTATGATTTTCAACAGGGTGTCATGTGATTTATGATTTTCAACAGGGTGTCACGTGATTTATGATTTTCAACAGGGTGTGAAAGAAATAATGGTCCCCCAGGGATTATGGTCCCCTTTCTTAATTGTCATCAGGGTGCAGGACCCAGTTGATCAAATGCTGAGGATATTACTGCTTGGGATTTTACTGGTAGAACGATCAGAATTATACAAGTATTCAAGGATACATCCTGAAGTGTTTATTTCTCAAGTTGAAGTATGCAGTATAAGCTCATATAGAATCTATAATCTCAAACCAATACTTCTCTCCAAAATTACCAGCTGAACAAATAAATTCAGTATAATATTTCATATACAGATGCAGGAAGGAATTATTAGCACATCATCAGAAATTACCATCATTACCTCTTTATAGTTAGTTATGAAATATTCCAATAATTCCCATGTATATAGATTGTATTTTCATTGTCAAGTTACTAAGATCCTGTATGTATCCCCATCATTCATTTGATTCCCTCTGTATATAGGGGATGGGAGGGGGGACATGCCCATGATGCAAGACTTTGATTTGACTATTTCACAATTGTCAACTATTTGATGATGTTTTAAAAACAGAACAGTAAAATCAGTGATAAGGAACTTTTTTAGAATCTGGAAGAACTTGATTGCATTATTGTTATAGATTGTAGAAGATAAACAGGAGAAAAATTGTTCTGGGGGAGAAAAATTATTCTGGAGGTTTATTAAAAGTAATAATGAGATTATACAGTGCTTATAACCAGTTAAGCAAAATTTTGCATTTGATTTAGATTTCTTCTATTCACCCAAGCAAAAAATCACATTAATACATAGGGTCATATAGCTTACCTGGTCTCTCATTACATAAGCTGCAATACCAACTGCAATCTCCACGATGAAGATGATTGTCAAAAGGGCAGCGAACTGAAATATACAAAGGAATATATGTTAACAGGAACTTCATAGCAGTGTAGCAATATGTAGCAAATTGTAAAAGCTGCTGAGCCAAATCAAAGTAGCTTCAGTAAGTCCGGGATTTAACAAACTTTCACATGATATATAACACATGGAGGTATGCTATCTGGGATTGGTGGGGTATGGCCATTATGACCAAATCCTGTACATGCAGTATATATAAGGGTTATGAACCAGCAAGTTATGGCTGTAGGAGTTGTGCCTATTTAATACAAAACAACATGGCAAGAAACTTCAAAATTCAGGTGTCCTTGTCAGAATTTTGGTGCTCTAAAAATTGAGGGAAAAATAGGCCCAATGGTCCAAATAAAGAATGCATTGTGAAAGGCTAATCATCGTCAACATTTTGACAATTCGTATTTATTAGATCAATGATAGGGTTGCCCCCACTATAGATTACACATCTCTCTTCCATGAGAGTTGGGTGGGGAAAATGCTTCAAGTCAGATTAAAATTGTCAATCACGAGGACATCCACACCATGGTTAACCAAGACATCTAAATTCTTCTCAGCCATAAGATAATAATTTAATAAAACAACGAGAACAATGGTATATCCATACATCTGTTCTATCTTCCTTTAGTAAACAAGTTCAAAGTACCCTTAGGTTATTTTAAGTAAATAACAACTCAAAAAGTGTAAAGAAATAGGACAAGCCAATTACATGTTGACTTATATTATGACCACTCAATCTTGAGACAAACAGCAATAAAGTCCCAAATTAAATTGTGATATTTGATACATGACTTTTTCACCTGCTATGTGCAATATGTATTAATGTACTAACATCATAACATTTCATTTACCAGTATATTTTGTAATTTGCAGTTACTGAAGACAATGACATTATAAATTAAGGTAAATTCATATGTTGTAATGTAGCATTTATTGATTTCCTGACTTCTTTTTCAATACAGAACTCAACTTATTTTCACTTCTTACACATACATAATCTGGATATATAATGCAACAATACACTTTTTATTTGAAGATGAATATTATAGTGAATATAAAGCAGGGCTTATAAAAAACAAAAGCAATTGAAGTTATCGAGTGTGTTGTCTCTCAGAGAAAAATGAGGATGTTATATAAAGGTTGTTAACAACGTTCAACAACAGGAATTTCTCATTTTCCTTATTTCACTAAAAATCATGTTGTAAGTGACACAGGCCCAGGTTTTATCAAATAAAGTTTTAAAATCTAAGTAAACTATAAAACTTGGGTCTTGTAAGGAAGTGAATACACATATTACATGTAAACATGAGAACACATGTATACAGATGTTTTTGTTATAATTCTACTGTTGAATTGATTACATGGGATTTCACTAAGTATGATGGGGGGCTGCAGGACACGCCTTTAACTTCCAATTTGTAAATTCCAATTTGATTTGACATAGGGTAAAAATAATTTTGTTGAGTATATTTCTACTAAAAAAGTTTTTCTTACATCTTCAATATTTGGTGATTTATTCTATACAAACTCAATTTCATCTCAGAATATATTTTTTTAAAATAGGATCTCATAGTTTTCTTCAAGCTTCATTTTTTTTTCCTAACATGTAGCTTTGAATACTTTATTGGGAATGGGTGCTAGACTGAGTACTCTTGACTGATTAACAAACAGTGCAAGACTCAGCGCTAGTCTGGATGTTAGACTGAGTACCAGGTTGAGTGCTAGACTAAGTGAAAGCTCAATTGAGTACTATGACCGAGTACCAGACTGAATGCTAGACTGAGTACCACATTAAGTACTAATGCATGCTCAACTGAGTATGAAGACTGAGTACCAGACTGAGTGCTCGGCTGACTGTTTGAATGAGTGTTAGACCAAGTACTCGTCTGGATACTTTACCAAGTGTTAAACGAGTGCTACTTACTGTCATTGTCATGCAGTAGTTCTCCTTCCATGCTCCGCAGCAGCCAAAGAATCCAACAATGAAGATGATCACCCCAACAACAACCAGCACAATGGCCGCCGCACTAAACTGGCCACCCAGGAAATCAACATAGTCCTTGAATGTAGTTTGTACAACTACTCCAGCAATAATCAGACCAAGTCCAGCCAACTGAAAATGAGGAGAATAACTTTACATTTACTTTGTTTGAGAGGCCAAATGTATTCAAATGGCATAATAGAGACATTAAGTCAATCTTGTTAATTGTTGTTAATCTTGTTTTGGGTCACCCTGTATTTTTAACATTACATTTAATGGAAATTGGGTAACTGGACCTTAACATACAGTATTTAGTCAGATGATTTCATGGAAATGAACGAAATAGATAATCCTGTAGTTGGCAAATGGATCGAATTATCCCATATGTAAATATGCAAATGCAGTACAGCATAAACAGGTATTATCGGTGGTAAGTGAAGTTACATGGTAACTATACAACATATTGATCAATCAGTTTCTGAACATACACCAAATCTATGTTCTAACTATAAACTGTATTGTGAACAAGGAAGTAGCAAACCGATTTACGGACTCTATATCTAGACTATACCAAGAGATGCTTCAGCTCTGAATATACACAAAATGTAAATGGGATTCTGATCCATAATCCAGCTACAAGCCCTTATGACCCCCTACTATAACAAGTGTGAGAGTGTGTGTCAAGAGGGGGGGGGTCACAGAGGCTTGTAGCTGGACTATATAATTGTTGAATATGAGAATATTCCATGAGTATACCTTGAGCTCCTCAAGCTAGAAAAGATGGACAATTTTAATCAGTATTGACTGAGCCTACTGAACACCAGTCTAATATAATAAATCCTCTCAAAACCATATTCAATAGATCAACTATCTCAGAACTTAAAATACAGGCACTTTTTCTAGTTTATGTATTCAATCATAGTGAACCCATAAAGAAAAAATAAAACGTTCTTTCACTTGAAACTATATTAATGATGATTCACCTGCTGGTAGAGCTATCGTGACTATAATATACGTATACACATAGTTTCCTAGTTACTAACATTGACTATGATATTCCTGGTAAAAAAACGAAAAAAATTATGGTACTTCCCTTTTCCAGCTAAAATGATACAGATTTAATAATTCAATTCAATTTATTTATTTCATAATTCTTATATAACTACTACACAATATGATGTGAATCATGAAGATTTATAAATCTGGCAAGGAGATTAACATTTTGATCTCATTACTGATGCTATGTTACACCAAGCATGTAGATTTATAGTTGCATTTGGTCGATCATAATACAGTATGCGAGATGTTGAGGGGAATCTGAATGGGCATGGAACAGAATGATACAGATTTCTTGAACATTGAAATCAAATGGTATTCTTTAAGTTAACTAATAATAATGTTCATCTTTACTTATGAAACATACTTCAAGACTTGAATTATGAACGAGTGAATTTCTAATATTGGCCATACTTCTTCAGATGACACTTAACAAAGTGAAATATCCTTGGACCAAGGATGGATTTAGGCCTACATTAAAACAATTTATCAATAACAAAATAAGTCATGTACACTTTGGTGTTAACAACTTTGATTCTACTTTATATGAAATCATAAAAATTACATTGTTCTAGGCCCTGCTAACCACATCCCGACCCTTACATACCAGATGGTAAAGTTGACAAGACGGTGGTCCAGAAAATATTGTTATGGGCATAAGACTATATTTCATGCAGAGATAAATCTAAACATGAAAGATGAGCTGTCCAGAAATGAGAAAATCGTATAAAACTATCTTAAAAAGTATGCCTCATAAAAGATGGGTATGACATTAGAAAATAGGATTCTAATAGAAACATGATTTACAGTTTGCACAGACATTTTTAATCTGCATAAAACATTACCTGAACCAGCGAGTACTAATACATATTCCCATTGGATCAATCAAATGCCTTTTAAACCATTAACAGAATGAAGCATTTAGCAGTAAATGTTGATTGAAGTAACTATAACATTCTAATAATCTGGTCGCAGCTTGTCAGTATAAATTATTCACAATTTAATATACTAACAGATATAATGAAAAGGGGTTTGCGGTAACAGATACCGAATGTATTACGATATCAAAGAACTAACTATGAAAAGATATGTAAAAAAGGTATTTTCTCTATTTCAATATTCTCAGTTTGATACTGGCAAATCAGGACCAGTAAAGTAAATGAGAAAATGTTATATTACCGATTGCGTAATTGATTTACTAACTTTCCAGAAATTCAATGTTCTTATAAAATATAATATTATTTTGGGGGTATTTTAGTTGACCCAAGAAATCCCAACCCTGATATGAAACTAGAATAAAAAATAGAACCAACTGTAAACTGTAGTGTTATTCTACAAGACATCTTTAAGAATATACTCTAATTGAATTCGAACATTTAACATGATCAATTTCACTATGATGACTAAGAATCAAAAGGTTTGATAAGACCTTTGATGAATAAACACTGGCCAAATCACGAGCTCTTACTATACCGTCTATGTTTGTAGGTATGAGTGTCCTCTAAGATTACAACTGTAATCATCATATGTTTATAAGTTGATAAACAAAGATATGAACAATATTTTGTTCCTAAAACTGAAGTGCCAGAAAAAATACTTATAAACAAACCAATATTGTAAACAAAACCATATGAGGATAAAGACTTAATGTACGATGTTATTGATCAGCAGTCACATCAGATGAGGTCACCATATTCATCTTCCCACTCATCTATATGTACTTATTGTTTTATATATTGATCTATGATTGACTACAAACTTGTAAGCCATGGATGTACATGTCATGATGTTAGGCGGAGTTATTATGACAATTAAATTTAGAAAAGAGTCTAATGTATTAATTTTACAAAAGCACGAACTGAATGTCTGTGAAAATGAACATCAAGGGCCACTGATGTGGCCAAATGGACATATGTACTGAGGGTTGATACTGTTATATATGTTAACGAATGCGACTCTCACTTATCTACCAGTATTTAGTGTATACATCCATTTAACAGCATTGGTATAAAGCATTTAAACACTATATCAATTTTGTTGAATATTTTTTTTACTTTCTGCTTGCTGGTGACATCAGGTAAAGCTGTTGGTTCTTATCACAAAATATTTATAGTGCCATGAAATGTAGCTTGTTGATGTTCCAACCCACCTTATCTGGTGATAAATGTAAAATCAATGAATGGAAATTGGATTTTGGATGTGTTTTGTGATTTTTACACTCAGGCCCGTAGCCAGGGGGGGGGTTCGCAGGGTTCGGGCCGGACACTTGTACATGTTCGGTAACATTCAATTCATTTACTCTTGGATATTGTTTGACAGAAATATATGAGTGAACGCTAAATACTATTAGGTAATTGACAGTCAATCAAAATCGTATTTTACAGATTTCTGATACAAAAATTTATGTTTTGGGCTTCCTTGGTTACAATCGTTCTCCAAACACAGGTCCACAAAACTCGTTCCTCATTCACCCTAGATGTCTGAAGAGCATGTACTCGGAGGATGGGTTACAATATAAAAAAATATAAAACCCCACCCTTACGGCCCCCATAGTAACCTTTATCAAACTGTTGGAAGTAAAACTGCTTGACAACTTGAAAGTCCAATACCAACATGACAATAAAAACAGAAGAGACTACCATCGAATTCAAGACATATATGACATCAATCCATATCCAATATCTCATGTCATGAATAACATTTTTAATTTTAGGCCTTAGGAAAACATAAATGCCGGGCAAAAAGTTCTTGGTTCAGTTCTTACCGGCTTCACAAACTTGGATTTAGAAGTTAAAATAACAAATGTACTTACAAAAAATATCAAGTTGAATGCAAATAGCAAGTATTTGACACATTTCATGCCACCTTCAACCATGGTTGTAGTTGTTTAGTTGCCTTCTAAGTGAAAAACCTGTTGTGTTCTGAAACTTTCAATGATTAAATTCTTCTTGTCAAATTACACAAGAAATTTAGACATGCGCAGAAAATAGTTCTACGATTGCTGAGTAATTTGAATGAACCTACATAATAGTTATGATAAAACACAGAAACATTTCGAACAGATTTAGATACTTTTGGATGTAAAACAGGCTTTTACTGCATGTGTCACATGCTCATTTTCGTTTAGTTGATTAATTTGGCGGATTAATATAAATCACATGAGAACGAGTAATATCTTTTTGTACGATAGATGTCAGCTGTGTATTTAAAATGGCGGAGAAGGAAGTGGAAATTTTTTCCAAAGAAGTAACCGATTTCAGCTCTCAGTATGGGACTGAAAAAAGTATTACATATGCAGCTACAAACTTAGCAGGTCCATCGTCAATATATCCTAATTACGGCGATTTTACTCAAGCGTTTGTTTTAGTAAGTAACAATTTTGTTTAGATTCAGATTCGAGCAGATATCAGATTGATTTTATGATTTTTCACTTTCACTTTCATTACACATAGGCCAATATGATATCTGAAACTTACACATGGAACCTAAGTTCACATGTGTGTAAATAACTTCCTGTGATTAGCCTGCGATGTTGTCGTGTTTTTTGGTAATTTTCTGAAATTTTAAAATCACTGCCTCAAATCAGGATGAAGGCTAATCTAACCAAACCCGTCTGGCCCAGTTATCTACTCCCGAAGTCGTATCCAGATCTACGACGTCAGGAGTAGATAACTGGGCCAGACGGGTTTGGTTAGATGAAGGCCCAATAGCATCACCAACTGATCTGCAACAAGAAGTTGCCCACCATGCGCCTAAATAGAATATACAGGGTGTCCAAAAAAACAGGACCGTAAGAAAGTTGAATAACTCGGTCAATTTTGCATATTTTGCCTTGAAATTTAAGAATTATTTTGTTCATTCAATGTGGATTTTGTTCTGAAAGTTGATGATAATCTGTTTATTGTGTCAAAAACTACAGTCTTTTACAAAACATGCTCAAAGTGGGCACTTCTCCTCTCTATGCACAAACGAATCCTGCATTAATGTGGATGGTAAATATTGGGGTAGTTATTGCTCTCTTAAGATTGTTAGGGGCCTGTCAGTATACATATTGGCTTTGAGAAATCCTCAAAGATAAAAATTTGGGGGATTTAGATCAGGCGAATGAGCTGCCCATATGGTTTTCGTTCTGCAATTGATGAGCTGACCACCAAAGCATTGCCGAAACCATTTCAGCATATCATTTGCAGTGTTGGGGTGGTATTGGCTTGTTGAAACCACTGCTTAATTATCTCCTTAGATGTCCCTTCTGGTGCTTAGTGACCTCCAAAACTTGGTGAGAACTTACTGGTCCTTGTTCATGGTGATAGCAAGTCCCCAGTCACCTTCGAACCAAAAGGGACTGATGATTCCATGTTTCCTCATTGCCACCCAGGGAGTGCATTGTTCAGAATGCAATGGATGCTGTAACACTTCATCAGGAGGAAGTAAGCCCCAGTAGCAATTGTTCTTGGAACAAACTTGTCCATTCAGAAAGACATGAGTGTAGGAGGATCATCAACAGCTTTGTTCGCCGGATTGAATTGTGCATAGAGATGAGATTTGCACATTTCTGGCATGTTTTGTAAGGAGCTGTAGTTTTTGACTCAATTGGTAGATTATTATCAAACTTTCACAACAAAATTCACATTGAATGAACTAAATAATTCTGAAATTTCAAGGCAAAATATGCAAAATTGACCGAGTTATTCAACTTTCTTACGGTTCTGTTTTTTTTGGACACCCTGTAGAATCGATCTGTCATATTTCAGTTCAGAACAATAAAATATAATCATACCTGTACGCAAATACATGTACACAATTGGAAAACAAATTAATCAACTATATTAGATCAAGATATCAAGTGCAAGAACAAACTATTTTAAAGACCTTAACAAATATTGTACTTTCATTGACTTATCAACCCTATGTTTACATGTTGTACAAGTACAACTTTAATCCCATGTAATCTGCTGTTTTAAATAGTCATATTTCCATCTTATACAAAAAGCAAATAAATGGCTTTGCAGTACTCTGTTTTTTAAAGTTATGTACTGTGACGGCTATTCTGATATATCACAGTTACTATATCTCACTCATATTTCCGACAGTCTAGTGCAATTCAAAATGCCTTTTCCCTGAAAATCTCAGTGACAGACATTAAAGTTTTGAACATAATTAGCTTTACTTATTGAATGACCTGTTTATGTCTATTTGTTTATGAGTGGTCATCACATAAATCACTCTGTGCGTATATGAATGAATATGTCATCCAATATTTCCACATATGTGGCAGATAGAATCAGAATAGATAAATATAACAGCATGTTCAAATTTCTACCTGATTTAACTGTTGAAATTTGGGCCTCGGAACATAGACTCAAGGATGAAGGATTTATATTCAATGACGATAAGTGTCATGAAGAAGTTTGTCATGATGATGCATGTCATAGATATATTTATAGTGGATGTAATGATATGTGTACAAGCCAGGAAAAAAATACTGGATTTTTAAGATTGAGATTAGATGCTTGCTCCAATTCGATTGTTAATTTTGGCGGATTTGTTCAGATGTGGATCGAATGTCTAATTAAGTTGGCTTCATACAAGGTAGTGAATGCAGCTTTAGAAAAAATTCATTAAAAAAACAAAATATTTTGTTCTGCAAACATGATCTTTGAGTTTGAGACATTTTAGATTGGTAATATTAAATCATTGAAGCATCCTTGCTTTTCGATGATATCATCATACCTCATCGGCCTAAAAATAAGTTATTATTTAATATTTTCAAATACTACTTATACTCTATACATATTTATTCCTTGAATGGAACACTTCACTTATTTGACATAATATAACATAGTTTTCACCTGAAAAAATCATATTCACTCTCATTTACTTATATCCTCTTTATTTGCAGAGAACCTATGGTCCTTGGTGGACCCAATGTCCTTCAACCTCCAAGCCGTTCAAGAAAACACCAGAAAATTGGCACTCGAGGGATTTTGTAGGTAAGTAAATATGTCCATGTTTGTATTCATACTGTTGTCTGATTAAAGGGAATAAAAATGATTTTTAATAGTCGATAACATATTTTATAGACAATTTTTTGTAAAACAAAACTACATGCATACCTTTAAAATATTACATATGGAATGTAAAAAACAATGAAGGAAGCGATATGCAAATATGTTTGAATGATATGATAAAATTGATTTTTTAAACTGACCTCAACTGACCGAACCTTTGAATTTAAAATTGATTTATATGACCAACTTGTATGAGACAGTGTTATACATTTTGGTAGATTTTTGCCAAAAACTTATAGGGAAATTTTAGGGTTGATGGGACCCTAAATTTGTTAGAAAATCTGAAAAAATGTTTCTTTCTCTACACCAAAATACCATAGGAGGTCAGATTTTCTGAAAAAACCTCCAGTAGAGCCACCCTGCCTTTAAGTTCACTTCAAAGCTTCACTTTTATGCATTTTAGAGCTTCATTTTAATGTATTGATGATTCATTTTAATGCATTGATGATTCATTTTAATGTATTGATGATTCATTTTAATGCATTGATGATTCATTTTAATGTATTGATGATTCATTTTAATGCATTTCAGAGCTACATTTTGAGAAAAAATGTTACATAAACAGTATAACAATATATGAGACCTACAACCCTGGAGCTGTTGTAAGAATCCTGGCCTCTGATGATACAAAGCCATCTCAACCCAGGTATGGACAGCAGTAAACTTAAACATAGTTAACACCATGTAGATTTACACTGTAGCTGTAGCCTAAGAGGGATAGTTGTAATTTTAGTAAAACCTGTGTATATTGAACATTTTTTGCCAAGAAAAAATGTGCAGTGTTGGTAGGTGTGCATTACAGAGGATAATTTATAGAAATGTCAGAAGAGTATGTGCAGAGGAAGGGTGTCCACTAGACCTGTGTTCACTAGAGAGAGGTGTTCATTAAGACATGTTTTACTAGCCTCTGTCTAAGTTCTGATCTTAACGATCCTCTGACTAGGATAGAAATTTGCTTTTTGATGCTGATTATATCTTAATGGTACAAAATTAAGTATCATGGTCTTTTATATGGGAGTTAAGTTATGGAATAAATGCCCAGGTGCTTATTAAAGATTGAAGTCATGTGATTCTGATTATGTAAGTGGATCATGATTGACCTACTTTGATTGGGCAAGGCTAGATCAAAGGATTATCTCTCATTCAAAGAGTGAAGCTGTCTTTAAAAGAAGCAAATCCAGCTATTGAAAAGGGTTGTTTCTGATACTCAATTCAGTGAAATGTTGATTTTATTGTTTTGATATGTCCTTGATCTATGTGAACATGATACATTCTCTGTTTATTGATTTGTTTGGCTCAACTCATTTAACAACATTCCATATTTTGTTATTAACAAATCAAACTCACCACATGCTTTTTTCATATGTCAGCGTACTTGTCTATGAAAAGGTACAATTTCTAAAAAATATGTGTAAATCAATCAAAAGTTGTTTATAACCTCAATATGACTTAAAATCAGCTGACAAAAGATCTATGATAAATGCAAAAGTGAAATATGATCAATTCGCTAAAACAATTAAGCAACAATCAGAATTATATTGAGATTATTGGTTTTATCAGGTATTAAAAAGTATGTTCTTCATTTAATGAAGTCAATACTTAAAGTTACTCAACTCATTTCTTTCCTCAGTCTTTATTGTGTTGTTTTTCAAGAAATATGTTACTGTCGCTGTTGTTGTTGTTGTAGATTGATTTGATTGAAAGATGTCACTGTTGTAGGTGGTATTGATTGAAAGATGTCACTGTTGTAGGTGGTATGTGTTATGGGAGGGTGAACAACAGACATGCAGAGCAGAACCAAGAGCATTCCAACCAACAATCCGTCCATGCAACTTTAAAACAAAGTAAACGCATCTAATAATTGTCTTTCAGTGGTGCCTTGTCAAGCACTCTTTTCATTTGCCCAAGTTCAAGGAATGAAAACAGTGAAACATAAGTAACAAAAGATGCATTCTTCCTAAATCTTATTGAACATCACTTACATCTGTATTGTTTAGTATTGTTTAGATATTTCATTAAATAAAATGCATTCATTTGAAATACAAACAAGCTAGAGGCTAAATAAAGTATTAACATTTAATTTGAATGTCTGAAATCTTGATTTTAAACTTTTAGTATGAACATTATAATCTTCTTTTTCAGTCTTTTGAGATTAGAGTTTTGCAGTACTCACCTTATGTACTATACTGAGCTTGACGCTGTGTCAATCACAACAAAAGACTCTGTTAACAAGTTAAAAGCCAATAAAGATGGCAGTAGTGTTGATGCATCAGCCATTGACAGAATTAATCAAAACTTGAAGGAAATCAGGCTGGATACTGAAGATGGAGAAAAGTGCAATTTTGATATTTTACCAGTGAGTACCAATTATTTTTTTGTGATATTGTTTTATTCGCCATTCAGCAGTTGTTGTTTGGCAGTTAGTGTCCAGCATTCAGTTGTCAGCATTCGTAACAAATGGCAGGTAGTGACTGTATGTTTTTATCAAATACGATACATGTGTGTGTAACAATTACATATATATCAAGACAAAGGGATATATATATTTCTTTTATTGACATGACAATTGTATCAAAACATGACACATTAGTCTAAACGCTGAGAGAGTTGAAAGTCTTTATTCAGTAGATTTTTTAGTAGGTTTGATGTATCTTTTCAAAATTCATGTTTTTCTAGGATGAGATTATACATGTGATATTGAGCCAGCTGGATCTGGTCTCCTTGAGTAATGTAGCACAGACATGCAGGTAACCTGCAGTTTTTGGATGAATATATACATGTATAATGATGTGGAAGGACTATATATATCAGGGTTCCCACTAGGCTTTTAGACTCCGGAGTCTAATGTCCTTAGACCCTCTTGCTCCAGAGTCTAATAGCTTTTACAGAGTCTAAAGCTGGATTTATTTAGTCTAAAACTGGATACAAACAAGGAATAGTAAGTCAGAAACCTCTAAGAAAGTACATTGTGATTAAAATAGGAAGATAATCTCTTAAGTAGTATTTTGAAAAGTATTGGATATCTCTGATCTCACATGGGAGAGTACTAGACGCGATACTGCCAAAAATCCAAGGTCTAAAAATTTCCTGGTGAGAACCCTGTCTATTCATACTGTGTCCACTAAATGAGGTAGCAGATATATTAAAAAACTTAATCGGTAAAAATACATAAAAAGTGTTGATAATATGTATTGTTGATACTCTGATAATGAATCTATAGGCTGTTATAATTTGAATGAATTATGAACGTATATTTTAAATTTATTTATTTAAAAATGTTTACCTTTCAGACGTCTATGGAAGTTAAGTTATGACCCACTCCTCTATACAGAGTTAAACTTACAGCCACATTGGTGCCAAGTATCAGACACAGCTTTACAAGGTCTGTCTACACGCTGTGGCTACATACAGAGGCTCTCGCTATCTTGGTGTGGGCCTCATCACTCTAGCAGAAAGTCTAATCCACCTTTCACTGAAGAAGGATGTACAAGGTAGCCTTTTTTTCCATTTTTATTTCTTTGCTCTTGTTAATGTTGAGTGCTTCACTGTACCCCAAATGTACCTTGTTCATTGGTGTTATAAAGTAATGATATGCAGAGTTCTCACCAGAAGTTTTTTAGAACCCAGAGAATAAATCAGCATCTGTGTCCAAAACCTGGCGCTCTCATGTTTGAACACGAGAGAAAATTGCGGCATCCCAGACTCTAAAAGTCTAGCGAGAACCCTCATATGTGTATTATAGGGAAGCCATTTGTACATACTTGTAATTCATATTTATCCATGTTTTATAGGTTTATACAGGGCTGTAGTGAGCAATTGTCGTCCCTCCACCTATCCTCATGTAACTTCCTCACTGGGAATTCACTGGAAGATATTGTAAACAATTGCCGCAACTTGTCAGGTAAATAAACCTGGAATTGTCTTCAATGTATTACACAGGTTTTACTGTACTGTGCTGTCCTGTACTTTACTTAGCTGTGTTGTGCTGTACTGTGCTGTGCTGTGCTGTACTGTACTGCACTGCACTGCACTGCACTGTACTATTCTGTACCTTGCTCTTATCCACTTCATTCAGTATACTGTTTGCTGGTGAGAAATGCAGCACCTTTAACCGCTCATTGTCAAGGTCTCCCTGTGTCAAGGCTTCATCAGTTTGATTTTCTTATTTTCTCATTCATTATCTTCAGAACTGACCAGCGGAACTTTTGATTTGTGCACACTGGAAAGTTTAATGATTCAAGTTAATTTAAAGAAAGTAAAAATCATAGGACGTTTTATTGTTGCTCTTCTAAGAAATAGAATTGTTAAATTTTTATGTGTTTTTGTCTAAAATGTTGCTATTTATATACTGGGTATAATTCATCAAAACCATCAAAATTAGATATCAATATTCAAAAACTCAACCATAAATTGTTCAGACTGTTATACATTTGAAGACACTCGGTGCAAAATTGACAAAATGCCACCACCAGTCCTGTTACTTTTGGAACACTCTGTAAAGTAAAAAAATCATTTTTCAAAAGTGCGATGTATATATCACAAAAATATGTCCTAAAGCTGAACACTTATCAAATCATTGCTCTTATGCTATAACATGGAGCCACGTATTGTCAGTAAACAGCTACCTTTTAAATAGCATAAATATAAACAGTTTCTATTCACGATATAATCATTGACTAGGTGAAAGACAGATCTCTCCTCCTCACTCTTCGAGGTTATAACGATCTTTTGTTCAAGCAGAACACTGACACACCTCAGCTTAAACATGCATGAGGACCTTGAGTTTACTATAGACTAAGGTTTTGAATAGTTTTTATCAAATAATAAACAATATACTATACTAGTTAATCATTGACTGTGTCATGAGAATGAGACACAGCGGAGGGGTTGAAACATCATGTGATGTTCAGTTCAAAGTTAAGATGGCGACAGCAATGGAGGAACAAGTCAAAGAGACTTTGAAATGCAAGTTGTGTTATGAGACATTAACTGACCCAAGGGCACTGCCATGTATGCACACATATTGTTGTGTATGCCTGGACAAATTAGAGAAAACAAAACAAGGAGATAAACCCTGTTTAAGCTGCCCGGAATGTAGAGAAGTTCACACAATACCTGCAGGGGGAGTGACTAAATTTAAGGTGAATTTCACCACTAGTTCATTAGTGGATCTATTTCAGTCTATGGATTGGAGACAAACCCCAGTGTACAGTGTGTAAGGAGAGTAAGCAAAAAGATACTGATGCTATAACAAAATGTATACAATGTAATGAACAGTTGTGTGTAGACTGTAATGGATGTCATCAAAAACTTCTAAAAGGTCACACAGTTCTTGACCTTACAGGTGACAAGGCTCAAGATAAACAGACTGCACTGAAAACTGTAAAACAGCGTATAGTGTTTTGTGAAACACATAAAACCAATCCACTAGAAATATACTGTAAAGTGGATCAATGTGCAGTTTGTGCAACTTGTTATGTGATTAACCATTCTAACCATGAGTGCATGGATGTCAACAAGGCTGCAGAAGACAATGTGAAATTAATAGATGACCTCCTCAAGAAAGGTGACAAATTGGTAGAGAGCTTTGAACAAACAATACAGAACACTCATACAAAAAAAGATAAAATGGAGCAAGAAGCAGATAATGTGACACATGAACTGAACAATGATATGAACATAGCTATCCAAGCGATCCGGGATAAATACGCAAAGAATATCGATATAGTGGCTGAGAAAAGAGCCTCGTGTGCCAAACAGGCAATTGCCCATCTAGGACACCTTGAAATGCAGAAGACCACAACTGAAAGCGCAATGATCGGGCTACAAACATTGAAACAACATGGACATGCTACCCAACTGGCTAACATGGCCCAAGACATCACTTCAAAATCAGAGGAATGGTGTCACACCAAGGCATCTGAGTTTGACACTAACATAACATTCAATATTCAAAGGGGTGAGGTATATAATGATAAAATTGTGTTTGCTAAGGTGGACATACAGAACTTGAGAGACACAACATCCATTAAAAGACCAAAAACAATAAAACATGTTAAGCCAACAGTTGTAAAGAAGAAAAAACTAAATAAGATTGATCGAGTATGGGATTTAGCTGTTACTAACAGTAATAAAGTGGTCGCTAAGGACTGGAATAACCCAGCATATCTCTATGACAAGGACCTTACTTTAAAGACAACATTTGGTAAAAGATGTGCACATATTGCTACTGATGATGAAGAGATATATCTTACCAGTCAAACTGACACAGTCAGCATTTACCACCAGGATGGTACACACAGCAGAGATTTAAAACTACCCACATTGAAACAATGTAGAGGTATTACAGTTAACTCTAGAGGGGAGCTTGTTATATGTGACTGGAGTACAAGAGTGGTATATCATGTTGAAAGTACAACTGGCAGAATAATGGCTCAGTCTGCGGTGTTCAAGAACCCTCTCTGTGTAGCTGTCAATAGCAAAGATGTAGTGATAGTATCAGATAACAGTTCACACAGTGTGGTGGGGATAACCAGAGATGGCACTGAACTGTTCATGTATTGGACTCATGGTAATGGACAGAATCAACTAAAGTGGCCTAATGGTCTTTGCACAGATACAGCAGACAATATCATAGTGGCTGACTGTAGCAACCACAGGGTACACTTGTTAGGACCGGATGGCAAGTTTATCAAATATCTACTTACAGAATCAGATGGACTACTGAACCCTGGTGCTGTAGCAGTGGACAATGAAGGACAACTTTTAGTAGGAGATCATTGTGGCAATATCTGGGTTGTGAAATACACAGAGTAAACATGTATTATCATATGTACATGTCCACTGCACAGATATTACACATATTGACCCAATATTAGGGATGTCACATTTTTTCGATATTGTCCCGTCCCTTGGGACTTTGGTCTCTGGGTGGGACAGGACAAACCTCATGTAGCAAAGATTTCGGTCCATGTTCAGGATATATTATTTATCCTGTATATGACCTTAAAACTTCCCAAATGCACGATAACTATGATCTAAACTATAATTTCTTTCGCTTTTACAGCTTATCTGCCAGATTACGTTCATGCGTAAATGCCATCTAGTGGCAATTACTATAAGGAATTATAATAAACGAAAATTCAGGACAGAACATGCAGTTTCATCAATAACAGTATCTCCCTATGAAATATGCTTAAATTTAAACAATAACAAAGAACTTCATCGGTAAGAAAGGTAACACGTTTTTGTGCAGCCCTCTTATGACATTCAAAAGGTCCACACTGCATTAGAATAACCTGAAGTTGACGGAAAATGTAAGTTGTTGAACTGTGTTAAACTTATTAACTATTTTATTGGTTATGTCCCCTCCCATTCCGTCCCAAATGTCCTGTCCCAAAATAGATAATTCCCGTCCTGTCCTGTCCCGAAATATTTTTGTCCCGACACATCCCTACCTATTATACACTGTTTTATAAGAAACGGGTATAATATATCCTTGACCCCTTGTATACCCACTGTGACAGATATGTCATATTACAGAATTTCTCACAAAAATGGTGCTAACCTTGACAAATATTGTTCAGTTTACAAGAACTACATTTGTATATGAACAAGTATTAAATTGTCTATTTATAATTGGCTTTTGTTGGCTAATGTCATCAAAATGAACATTACACATTGTATATTGAGAATAAAAAAAATAAAATCAAAATCCTATGGGTAGTAAAGTGTTAATGTAAAAATAAAATTATGGTCTTTCAGGCCCGTAGCCAGGATTTGCCAAGGGGGGGGTTCAGTTTTCAAAAATCTCTAGGGGGTTCACATTTGACAATTTTGGCCCAAATATGGCTAAAATCACTTAAGAAGTGCTTAAAATGGTGAAAAACTGCATGATTTTGAAAGAATTTTTGGCCAGGGTGGGGGGAGGGGGGTTCACGAACCCCCCCCCCTGGCTACGGGCCTGCCTTTTTTCAGTGAAACTACTAGTGTTGTGCTGTTACATTGAAAGCCATACTGATGAAACCATATAAAAGTATCTCATTTTGAGTGTAATTCATCCGAATCTAAACAATAAAAAACAGATTTGAGATTAGATGTCTTTTAATGTTATATTCTTGTGTGTGATATATCTTTTCACCATTTTATCAAGCACAACACACAGCTATTTCTATTTCTCTTTTGACTTAAAATGGTATGACAGACTAAACCTAAACTAGCACCTTGTTGAAAATAATCTACTTTAAAAATATCAATCCAGTTTTATGAAGGGTCAGTGTAATGGGATTCAACTTTTACTGATTTATGATTAATTTGGACTAGCAATGATCTTGATACTTTATCAGTCTTTTTGACATTTTGGCTACCTATGAAGGGTACCATCTATTAAGTTATAAACTGAAAGCATATGGCCTTTCAAGAGATCTATACAACAAATGATAAGTCATACATGCCTAAATAAACTGGAAAAGCAGAGTTGATTTTCTCATAGTGCAAATAATAAGTTGATTTTATCAAAGAAAAATAATGCAAATAATTTTCTTACCCTAGGTAAAAGCCCTAGGATAAATTCAATTTATTTCACAGTTCAGACCAACATTGGACAGAAAATGAATCCTGTCTTTTTCATGTGGGATAAATTGATTTTATAAGTACATGTATCTCAAGTAGGCGAAATGTCTGCTTGTTGGGGAGATTCATGCCATGTATTAGGGGCCCCATATAAAGTTTGAAAATATGTTTTTATCATTCATTTACTATTTCTCCTAACTTTGGCAGTTATCTTAGAGATTTTTGGTTTGAAATGGATTTCATAAGTATTGATATGTGAACATGTATTCCTCAAGTGGGCGAAATGTTTGCTTCCTGGGGAGACTCATACCATGTATTAAGAGTAGCACCTTCTGTATGTATAAAGTAAAGGAGATACAACTATTTTTAATGTAAGGCACCAGTCTAACAGTGTCTAGATAAACTTTAAAAAGCTAAAACTTTAACAAAGAAGAATATTCTTGTTGATAATGAAATAAAGAAATATAACTAGAAAACACGGTATGATATACATCCCTGTTTAACATAGAGAATAACTACTTTAAAATAACCAATTATTTTATTATTTTTTCAGAGTTAGACCTATCAAGTTGTGGAAATATTGACAACTTCGCTGCATTATCCAATACGACAACTCTACGACGTCTCAACTTGTACCGCACAAATATAACCACAGACCCTCTTACAGCACTCATCAGGTGACTTCTTGTTATATTCTTGTATAGTAGGCATATAATCCATATACAGGGTGTCAAAAATATTGGCTACTTATATAAGTCAAAGAGACTTGATATCATAATAAGTCATATAAAAGGCTTCTATTTCTGTGGTAATTTCAGAATTTATTTTTTGCTGTATAGAGGGAGGTACTATTATTTTTTGACATCCTGTATACAGAAATGATTCACATGAAACAGAGTTCAATTTGTAGAAAAATCATCACTCGTCCCAGCAATGTCCATTTTAGACTGTCAAATCCACCAAGTTTAAATATTTAATTAAGTTATATTCAACTTATACTGTTGTGAGACTTTATTCTTTCAACAGACAACAAATTTCTATAGTCATCATAATTGACAATTATAATCTTAACTGTCAGTAAGTCAATAATATATATTATGCATTTTAGGAGCAATCAGGGTTTAGAACACTTGAATCTAGGATCATGTGTTTGTGTCACTGACTACCACCAGGTTGCGGTTGCGCTGGCCGACAATTGCAAGTATGTCTCTTAAACCATACCAATATCCATACCAAACATACTTTGGCCATTTCAAATTATAGAGTGTAGAATATGCAGGTGCAACTCTCAATGGCAAAATTGAATTGGTTGTAGTAAAGTTTAACCAAGGGCAAAGACTCCTCTGTATTTTAACACAATGCTTGTCCTATGTCCTTGGTGTCATGTACTTTTTAGTATACTATCCAGTATTCATCCACTTTCCTATTTGTCATTCTCTAAATACCTTATCTTGCAGACAGCTTAAGTCTGTAGATTTCTGGAGGTCCAAGACACTTGGTAATGATGGCCTCATCGCACTTGCAAACAACTGCCCCCTATTGGAGGAACTGGATCTAGGATGGTGGTAAGGAAATATAATTGTATTAAAATATTGGATAAAAATTACTCTTCTTTAGACCTGGTGTCTCATTGAATGTCAGAAAGACAGCAAAAGGCATTGCACTTATCGACCAGGCGTCCGTCCGTCCGTCCGTTGGTCTGTCTTTTAATAGATCAGGTCAATTTTTTTTTTCTACAGTAGGCTAGTTAGTACCTCGATAATAAGTGTAGATAGTTTTTACATTTATTATTTTGAGGAAAAATATGTTCAAATTTCTGAATCTTGAATCCTTCCTTTTTGAGAATATAAGCAAGATTAAAGAATGATAGGCTCTATTTTTGTATCAGGCTCATTACTGAGTATGATCTTGCCATTTTAGATTTACTTTTACTGATTTTTCAGCAACAATTTACGATCCACCAGTGGTTGTTTTGTACAAGTGGCAAAGAACTGTCCAAATCTCAGAAAGATCTTTCTCACTGCAAACAGGTTTGTAAATAAACCTCAAAAATCATAGCAAATTATAATATGTGCAAAAAAGGTTTGTATCAAAGGCTATCGATGGTCTCAATTCAAAATTGGTCAAAAGTCAAAAAGTAAAAAATTTGATATGAAAAGAAATCTTATATCAGATTTTAATTACATTTAATACACTCCTATAATCCAATTATGATATAAGTCAAAGTTGCTTAAACTTTCCATGGGCCTTTAAACTGTGTTTCTTATAAGATAATAAAATACTTTGACAGAATTTCATGATTACTTCAAATGAAAAGGTTTACACAATCATATTTATTGCCCTGTATTTTTGTATATAGGAGTGTCTGTGATGACGACTTACAGGCGCTTGCAAAATATAGCAGCAATCTAGAACAACTGGACATTCTAGGTACAAGAGAGGTCACAGTGGAGATGGCAATTTTGTAAGTACTCTAAAAGCTGTCTTAGTGAACACCTCTCTGGTGTACACCTGTCTCTTGTGGACACCCTTCCTCCACACATAATCTACTGACTTCTGTATAAATTACCCTCTCTGTAGTGAATACCTTCCAACACTGAACGTTTTTTCTCGGCAAAAAATATTCAATATACAGAGGTTTTATTGTAGTGTACTATAATATATAATGTGATGTATTGAATGGTAATTTACCTAAATCTGTATCTTATATCAAAGTAAAATGTCACATTTAATCTGTAATATACATGCCAGTAACTTCTAACTATTATTGTATTTGATTTAAATTTTTGATGTTTTTCAGGGTACTTGAAAGCTGCAAAAAGTTGACTTTCTTTGATGTGTCATTCTGCGCAGGTCTTGATTTCCTTGCAGTGCAGAATTTACAAAGGAATTACCCTCGAGTATCCATCAAGAAAAGTTTCCAGAATTAGAAGATTACATTATAACCAGTAGTTTGAAGACCTCTGTAAGCAGAAGGCCTCCACAAGTGGAACTTTTTAAAAAGTAGTGCTACCCATTTACACATCCTCTGAACGCAGTGCTCTAGACATCATCCACAACACTCCTTCCTTCTTTTAGAAGAGTTCTAGAGGCTTGTCTTTGGAGGATGTATTCACATAATGTTAACTGAACCACTGTGCTTGGAACCCTTCCTTAGTGGAACACTATTTTGAAGTTCCAAAGGCATTCCATTTTACACTCGTTTTACATCTTTTTATCCCATCGAACGAAGTTCGGAGGGATATAGGGAACGCCTCCGTCCGTCCGTACGTACGTCCGTCCGTCCGTCCGTCCGTACGTACATCTGTCCGTCCGTACGTACGTCCGTCCGTCCGTCCGTCCGTCCGGGCAATAACTCAAATACCGTTGGCCCGATTTTATTCATATTTTGTATACATATACCCTATGGGGGTAGAAGTTCTGCTCGAAAGTCGATTTTCAAAATGGCCGCTCATTTAAAAATGGCGGCCATTTTAGTGCCGATTTTACAGTAATTTAGGTGCAATATGTAAAACTGTAATAGCAATATGTTTTAAATGTAAAAAAAATTATATAGGACATTAATAAAGCTAGAAATGTAGATATTATAAAAGCACATGGCAGCCATCTTGAAAAATGGCGCCCTTTTCTCGTTATTTTACGATTTTTGCTGTAACTCGAAAAGTAGTGGAGCGATTTTGTTCATATTTGGTATGTGAATACTATAAGCATGGCACACTGTCTAATGACACTTTTGGTAGAAGGTGGCCATTTTGAAAAATGGCGGACATTTTGAAAAATGGCCGACATTTTAAGTTATTTTACTAAAACTTGAAAAGTAGTGGAGCGATTTTGTTCATATTTGGTATGTGAATACGTATAAGCATGGCACACTGTCTAATGACACTCTTGGTAGAGGGCGGTCATTTTTCAAAATGGCCGCCATTTTAACGTATTTTACTTTAACTCGAAAAGTAGTGGAGCGATTTTGTTCATATTCTGTATGTGAATACTGTAAGCATGGCACACTGTCTAATGACACTTTTGGTAGAAGGCGACCATTTTGAAAAATGGTGGACATTTTGAAAAATGGCTGCCATTTTAACTTATTTTACTATAACTCGAAAAGTAGTGGAGCGATTTTGTTCATATTTGGTACGTGAATACGTATAAGCATGGCACACTGTCTAATGACACTTTTGGTAAAAGGCAGCCATTTTTCAAAATGGCCACCATTTTAACGTATTTTACTATAACTCAAAAAGTAGCGGAGCGATTTTGTTCATATTTGGTATGTGAATACTATAAGCATGGCACACTGTCTAATGAGACTTTTAGTAGAAAGCGGCCATTTTTCAAAATGGCCACCATTTTAACGTATTTTACTATAACTCGAAAAGTAGCAGAGCGATTTTGTTCATATTTGGTATGTGAATATTATAACCATGGCACACTGTCTAATGACACTTTTGGTAGAAGGTGCCCCTTTTGAAAAATGTTCGATGGGATTCGCTACGCTTTGGCGTTGCCGTTGTTCTGGTTTGTTCAGATACAATGTCATATAGTTGGCCATTGGACAAACTGATTATGATATTAACAGAAGCATTAAGATATATGTTTTATTAATTATTGCATGGTAAGATATGTGTGTCATCAGAACAAAATATGTGAGTCAGTGTGTCAATATGTGTGTCATCACCAGAACAAAATATGTGAGTCAATGTGTGTGTCAACATCAGAACAAAATATGTGTGCCAATATGTGTCATCATCAGAAGAAAATATGTGAGTCATTGTGTCAATATGTGTGTCATCATCAGAGCAAAATATGTGAGTCAATGTGTCAATATGTGTGTCATCATCAGAACAAAATATTTGTGTTGATGTGTCAACAATCAACATGCATACTCAATAAGTGCAGATTCCACAATAGGTTTACATGTTACATTTTGATGTACTTTTATCCAGCAGTCTTTTCATATACATGTATATGAGAACCTTCTATCTTTGTATTTTATCCAAAATGTACTTATTTACATTTAACATTACATTCATGTATTTACATATACATGTGGATGTATTTGTATTTTACCTTTTTGTCTTTGTATGATATTTTGTTTTTGAGAATCATACCTCATCTGTATTTTAATTACAATATACAGACTCATTCCTGCAAAACAATGAAATATAATATTCTCGGATTTTAATGTCACCACCATAAGTGGTGACATATTGTAATAGTCTCTAACTTTTTGTGGACAATTTTCGATGGGTTATGTTCGGCGTCTGTAACAAATGGCAGTTGGTGACATTTTGCATGTTAATGCCTCGATAGAGAATTGTCATGATTGAAAATGGTAGTGAACAAAAAGGCTATGTAGATTTTTTATATCACATTTTTGAATGTGAATTTCATGTTTTTAGTTGCACTAAATTAAATCGCACATGAAAAATACTGGTAGTACAGTATATGATTTTGCATTATGGTGTTTCTATACAGAAACCATTCCTATATATTTTAAATATTCATTGACTAGATAGCAAGCGCAATAAACACTCAGGGAAACTATTTGCATTTATGGACAAATCGTGTATGTTCCTTTGCATATGAGAGCTTTTAGTATAACTTTACATTGCATTGAAGACTAGTCAGTATTTTTGAATGTAAAGATAAAATGACGAGGGCAAATACCTTACTGTAAAACCTGTCTAATCCAAATGCCACCGGGACCAGCAAAAAGTGATTTGTAGGAGTTCACATTTTATGGAAATTGACGGATTAAAAAATGGGACTACAAGAACTTTTCAGATTAAGAGATGTTTAGATAAACAGACCTTAGGGAAAGTTCAAATAGCCGAGAAATCATTTCTCTGGTGTGAGATTCTTTAAAAGATGTCAGACCAGTAGTAGCTAATGTGAGATGTTATTTTATATGAGAAGATATGTGGTAAAATACCACTTTGTTAAGCGTGGTACATTGTTTGTGCATTCCATTATTAGGAGTCACCCAATTGTTAACATGGGATGGTTGGTGGGTTGGTTCAGTTGGCAAAATAGAAATATGTAAAATCCAGTATGCTTTATTCAAGAGAACTCCTTATGAGTCTTGCATCAAGCCCCTCATCAAGATTATGTTTCCCTCTTCTCTCACTCTCCCAACTACTATTTTCTTTGATGGAATCAATGAGTTGCGCATTTGGGGAGGGGCTTGATGCAAGACTTATCAGTTATAGACACAGATTTAGTATATTTATTATTGTAAGCTATTATTACATCACCATCAAGAATTGATGGTAGTATTAGTATACATAGTTTTTGTAACCATCTTTCAGTGTCCTTCATTTAACAGTGAAGTTGACTTTTGTATATTTGTCATTTTAATGCCTCGTTTTACATTACAATTTTACAATAATACTTGCAACCCTCTAACTGAAAATTGGCATTCTCTGCTTGAGAAAGGAGAGAAGTTGCCATGTTGTTTTTTGTGTGATCATTGTTTGTTATTTATAATAGATATATGTATGTATATAAGATTTTATATATTAAGATTGTAATAAATTTTATGTATGTTAATTTAGTTCATATTTTTTGAGATGTTCATGACCAAGCATGCTTATACTCTACCCCCCCCCTAGTTTTTCCAACTCGTTTAAAGACAATATTATACTAGGGACAAAATTAACTCACTATCCGAGAAGTAAATTATTTTCTACTTTGATGTGTAATCAAAGTAATCATAGATGACATTTCAATATGTCATATAATTCAATAACTGAAATTATTTTTATAGTATTAACTATTTTAGTAAATTTATTTCATGTAATTATCACCATGAATACGAGATCAAAGCTATGATGAAAGGGAAATGTCACCAAGTGTGGAGTAATCAACTCCTCTTGAATTTGCCATTAAAACTTCATTTGATTAAATGGTGATATTAGATTGTGTCAGATTGTATTTCTTTTTCTTATTTCATTTCAATGATCATTTTTATGTCACCACCAGAAGTTGTGATGATATATTGTTAAAGTCTTCTGGACGTGTTCAGTGGTTGGTGTTTGGCAGTTGGTGTTCGGTGTTCAGCAGTCGAAAGTTGGAGTCTGTAACAAATGGCAGGTGGTGACATTTTGCATGCTTATGCATTGTTTGTATATGGTTGAATTAGATAAATTCCAACTACAATAGCTTGGATTTATTCAATTTTTGAATGCCAAAGATAATTCTGAATACTAGTAATTAAAAAATTGAATGAATCCTGATGCCAGCAATGATCTACAGGGTGTCCTGAGAGTATAGGACCACCCCCCCCCTAGGCAGACATATACCAGTGTCATCATAGTATGTGGCATATTTCATTGTAAAGCTTATGTCACATTTTATCAATATCAACATTTTATGTCACATTTCATCATAGTTAACATAGTGCTTCAAATGTATTATACATTTTAATTTAACATAGTTGACATATTATGTCACATTGCACCATAGTTGGTGTATATTATCACATTACACCATAGTTGGTGTATATTATCACATTGCACCATAGTTGATGTATATTATCACATTGCACCATAGTTGGTGTATATTATCACATTGCACCATAGTTGGTGTATATTATCACATTGCACCATAGTTGATGTATATTGTCACATTGCACCATAGTTGGTGTATATTGTCACATTGCACCATAGTTGAAGTATATTATCACATTGCATCATAGTTGATGTATATTGTCACATTGCACCATTGTTATTAAAGTATATTATCACATTGCACCATAATTGATGTATATTGTCACATTGCACCATAGTTGGTGTATATTATCACATTGCACCATAGTTGGTGTATATTATCACATTGCACCATAGTTGGTGTATATTATCACATTGCACCATTGTTATTAAAGTATATTATCACATTGCACCATAGTTGAAGTATATTATCACATTTCACCATAGTTGAACTATATTGTCAGATTGCACAGTAGCTTATATGTATTGTCACATTGCACCATAGTTGATGTATATTATCACATTGCACCATAGTTGGTGTATATTATCACATTGCACCATAGTTGGTGTATATTATCACATTGCACCATTGTTATTAAAGTATATTATCACATTGCACCATAGTTGAAGTATATTATCACATTTCACCATAGTTGAACTATATTGTCAGATTGCACAGTAGCTTATATGTATTGTCACATTGCACCATAGTTGATGTATATTATCACATTGCACCATAGTTGGTGTATATTATCACATTGCACCATAGTTGGTGTATATTGTCACATTGCACCATAGTTGATGTATATTATCACATTGCACCATAGTTGGTGTATATTATCACATTGCACCATAGTTGGTGTATATTGTCACATTGCACCATAGTTGATGTATATTATCACATTGCACCATAGTTGGTGTATATTATCACATTGCACCATAGTTGGTGTATATTATCACATTGCACCATTGTTATTAAAGTATATTATCACATTGCACCATTGTTGAAGTATATTATCACATTTCACCATAGTTGAACTATATTGTCAGATTGCACAATAGCTTATATGTATTGTCACATTGCACCATAGTTGATGTATATTATCACATTGCACCATAGTTGATGTATATTATCACATTGCACCATTGTTATTAAAGTATATTATCACATTGCACCATAGTTGGTGTATATTATCACATTGCACCATTGTTATTAAAGTATATTATCACATTGCACCATAGTTGAAGTATATTATCACATTTCACCATAGTTGAACTATATTGTCAGATTGCACAGTAGCTTATATGTATTGTCACATTGCACCATAGTTGATGTATATTATCACATTGCACCATAGTTGGTGTATATTATCACATTGCACCATAGTTGGTGTATATTGTCACATTGCACCATAGTTGAAGTATATTATCACATTGCACCATAGTTGGTGTATATTGTCACATTGCACCATAGCTGAAGTATATTATCACATTGCACCATAGTTGATGTATATTATCACATTGCACCATAGTTGGTGTATATTATCACATTGCACCATAGTTGATGTATATTATCACATTGCACCATAGTTGGTGTATATTATCACATTGCACCATAGTTGAAGTATATTATCACATTTCACCATAGTTGAACTATATTGTCAGATTGCACAATATATGTATTGTCACGTTGCACCATAGTTGATGTATATTGTCACATTGCACCATAGTTGATGTATATTGTCATATTGCACAATAGCTTTTATGTTGTGTCACATTGCACTGTTACCGTAGTTGATGTATATTGTCACATTGCACCATAGTTGATGTATATTGTCACATTGTACCATAGTTGATATATAATGTCACATTGCACTATAGCTTATATGTATTGTCACATTGCGCCGCAGTTGATTTATATTGTCACATTCCACAATACTTGACTATTTTGTTCCATGGCATTATATGTGCTCATTGATAGTCTTGGCATGTATTCTCAGCTTATTACCCTGGCTAATGTGACCTTAGTATAAACAGATCTCTGAGGGATCACCTCCGAAGCGGATAAAATGTATATTGACCATTGTGAGCTCCTTAAATGCTTGAATTGAACTTTTACTTTCTGTACTTTCAGTTTGAGATAGGGATTCTTATGCATTGATGTTGCCCAACCGATTAGTAGTACCATTTATGCATTGATATTCCCTCAAAATAACTAATAATATGCACTGATTAGTACCATTCGTGAATAATGCGCACAATGGATAATTGCTAACTTTTCCTGATTGTACATGAACTCGTCATTTCGTTGGCAGCAACCATACTGGTAAGTGAATAAAAACATGTGTAACAGATGTGGTAAACATAGAGAATGAGGGTGAACTTAAAATGAAGTAGCTTTCAGATGGCATACAGGTGTTAACCTTCTGATCAATAATTTCCCTCAAAATAAACGCATACTGGCTTCATTTTCTCATCTTAATAAATGCCCCCCCCCCCGCCCTCTTGAAAATTAGTATTTTCCTCTTCATGAAGACCTTGGGTATAAAAGCATTTTTGTGGGTTTTCAAATAAAAGTCCTCATGAAAATAACACCCGGTGAGCATATGAGCAAGGAACTCTGCTACTGATTGGATATTGACTTGATCCAAGAATTGAAAGAGGGTAGGCAGAGGTGAGATCTTGGAAAGGGTAAGACATGGCATACTTAATCATCAGATACATTACCATATTGACAAGCTGAATAAGCCTTAGAGAGCAGAATGACATTTTCTATGTGAGAATTTGTTTTCGATGTCTATTAATTTCTAGTTGTAAAAACACATTGATTTGCTTTGTAAAATACAAATGCAAACAACAAAACAACAGAAAGGGTAAACAAATGTTTTCATTATACTAAATTGTCTTTTTAGAAAAGATGTCACGCTGGAAAATGGAAGCTGAAACGTCTGAGGAATATTGCTAGATATAGATTTATTGGAAACTTGACGTTGAGACTCGCTCTCACAAATACTTAAACAGCAATCTATAATATCACAATGCACACTCTAAATATAGATAATCTATTGATACATTCACATATATTTAGAGTAGAAGAAAGAAAGGTTATGCTATGATGTCCAAAACAACAGTAAGTAATAGGAATTTGTCGATTTTGTCAAAAATTCTTTCAGAGTGGTCTAGCTGCAAGAGCTATCATATTACCTATGGCATCTTATAAGTCGATTAACCACTAATGAAGTTTCAGATTTGCCGACTGGAGTTGCAAGTGACAACATCGGTAAATCTAAAGGAGTTTAACACAGCGTGTCTTCAAGCTTCCTTGCTCCGAGATCTGTTTAGTGGTTTATTACCCAACCACGCGGTAATCCACAGCACATCGATAAAGATCGGGGGATTATAAAAACTAACGATTCATAACACTTATCACGAGAGAGATAACTCACAATACTTCAAGATAGATTACTTAGACACTTTACATTGGATGAAAAATTCCAGCTCGAAGTTAGACGATATGCCTCAGTGGAGACCTCTATTGGGGCCCAACAAAACTGGAGTCCCGCATTTCTCGCCTCCTGATTCTGTGACCTATCTGCTGCAAAGATATTCGCAATACAAAAGACGACTTCATGAAGATCAAGTGAAGAAAACTACAGAAAAAGAACTTCAAAAAATAAAGTCAAAAATAGTAAGTTAACAGTTTGTGAAATACTTTAATATTGTTTAAGAGTACCTTTTATTAAAATCATTAAAATTAAGTTTTTGTAAGTACTTAATATTTATTATGCATTTAATAATTTGTGACACCAACATCTGCGAAACCATAACATATATTGAGAACATAAAAAATCTTCATTGTGTAGTTACATTGCATGAACATGTGAGCACGCTATATTTGTCCTTTAACTTGGCTCTGAAATAGGACTTGGTGGGACAATTTTATTCAATTATCTCCTTAAACGCAGATTGTAAGAACTAATGTAAAGAGTTTAAACAGCGTAATTAGTATTGATGAAATCTAGCATTTGCGAAGAGTCTGTGATATAACAAGAGTATATTATGTGTAGTGTAATAGTCCTCTTTAAAGCTTGATGGTTTTCATGTATTATCTAACAATGATGGCATATTTGTAGTACTTTACATCAAGAAATATTAGATAATCAAGTTTTATTAGCCACAAACGGCATATTTTCATTCTCTCTAAGTGCATTTGTAGAAAATCATATCGATGAATATAAGTTGTACTTGGTTCAGTTTACATTTTTGTTAGCAGCATTGAAAATATAATTCGGATTTTTATGTCTCGTACTTATATTTTAGTGACATTGCATTATTCCACCAAATAGCTTCCCGGAATCAAAATCATTTATTCGTTATAAGTATTCACATTTTGTTTGGGGACAGGCACCTTATTCCTCAAATTGTAAGCAAAGTTCATTTAATTATAGTATATATATTTAGAGGAATTCTGGTCATTCATAGGTAAAGCACATGGAATGTATTTGAAAATATTGTAATGTTATATTTTATAGCAAAGAAACATAAACATAACCAACGCTTTATCACATTATTACAAGCATTTTTTAAATCGATTTTTACCACCCCTACAATACATTTACATTTTATTGTAAATCAATATATTGATATATTCTCTCACCAAAGTTTCAATGTTATATAAATTTTAACTCTTTTGTTTCCAGGATGATTTATTGAGTCACCTAGATGTACCTGGTCCTGGGCAAATGAGGGTTAAACATGATTCCAGCCAAAAGCAACAAGATCTGAAACATGGAGAGGAGGTATGTTGAACAAACACATTTTAACTCTCATGATTAGACTTTAAATTGACAAGGGGAGGGGACATCAAGTTGAGGTCTACTTTTGAAAGTGATGCTCATTTTAGATTTGAAATGAAAAAATTTGGGACCCAAATGAGCTCTATTTTGAAAATGAGACTCATTTTAGATGCGAAATGAAAAAATGCATTTTCCCGAGGGATTCATATATGAGACTTAAGCAATTTTCGGTTTACTTAACAGGAAAAAAGCATTCAAATTACAAGCAATACAACATCTTATTGTAGGCTGTTAAAAGACAAATATCTTACAACATGCAAGACTACCCTTGACACGCAATATGCTATACCCTGAATCCTTGTCAGCTAGCTATACTATCCTCTCGTTATTACAAATGATTTAATATTTTTTTGCCAATTAGCTCAAATATGACTTTCCTGGTGTTTTATTGGAGTTGAATGTGGAATTCATGTTAGGTAATGCGGACACTTTTAGACGACATATTTTGATTGGATATAGCCTAGTGTTGAATATGAGGGTATAGATTAAGCCCAGGTCTTGCAAAGGGTGAATATTCTACCTGCAACATGAGAAATCTCTATTGTCTGTTCAGCTTTCAATTCTACTTGTCAGCAGAATAGCTGGCACAGCAATAAAATCTCACAACGGGTGTGTTTTAGAATTCAAAATAAACAGACTGAAAGAGAAATTAGCAGAAAACAAACGAAACAGAATTGAAGTTGAGACTCTAAATTGCGTAGAAATGTCATAAAACCGAGTAATTCATTCAAATTTTACAGAGAAATTAGGAGAATAAACATGATCAGGTTGGTCGTTTAGGATGGGGCTTGTTTGGCTGATTAATTAGTATTTACATAAAAGGAAACATTTCTTTTGTTCCTGATAATTTGCTATGCAAGATTTCTTTGTAAATTGTTGAGTGATTGGCATTGAAGATAAATTCAGAATAATAGCTAAAAATCTAATACTTTGCATCCATATACTTTAGTCTTAATGTCTCTTGTGTATTTTAATATTCTTTAGGTACTTATTAAATGATGGTGTTGGATGATTGGTTTATTTGAGGCCTTGTGATGTCAAAGTGGTCACATCAATTATATCCCATTGTCTCTCAGTGAGAAGACATTGTGCCACTTACCTTGTCTCTCGTTACCTAGGTATGGTCCCTGGTCCCCGACCCTTTCATTTTCATTCCTGGGGTTGAAATTTTAACCTTTAAGTCCTAAATATACTCATTAGGGGTCCATTTTTGGAACTCTTGTAACTCATGATTTGGGCGCAAGTCATTGTTCGTCAAAATGTAGACAATGATGTACCAAAAACAAACCCCAGACTAACAACTAATTCCCCATAATCACATCAGGATTAATAAAATAATTTCATTTGAAAGCTGAACTAGATTGCTTCTATACAATTTGAATCATAATTTAATAATTTCCTTTTGATTTTTTTAACATGTTTACTGTAAAATAGTAAGAACTGATGAATGAGTATTAATTTGAGTTGCCATGATATGAAAGACAAAATTAACCAACTGCAAAAATTTAATTAAACAATTTAGCTGTTATATTTTCCAGGTGTTTTTTATTGTTTTATGTTGTTAGATGTGTGAAAGTGAGATTTAAGAGAGCCTTTAATCTTATCGTAAATAATTAATGTGCAAATAGTTTAATTAATCGGATTCTACACAATTTAAGCCATTACCTGTAATGGAAAAATAACCTTTCATGTTATTTTACCATGTATATCATCCCTTTAGATTTACAGAAATTACCTTTTAATTTAGAGAATAATTGGACTTTGAAATATTCACTTTTTATTTTCAAATCTAAAGTTTTCATGAAATTAAACATCCAAGGGAGTATGATTTTTATAACACCATTCTGGTGGTGACATATTGTTACATATTGTTACTTTTTGTAGATGGTGTTCAGCGGTCTGCATCTGTAACAAATGGCAGGTTGTGACATTTTGCATGTTTCGCATTTGTGGCCCAGGAATCTAGTGTTTTAAAAGACATACCAAACCTGATATCAAAACAAACAACATAATAACTTACTTTTCATTTTATTCCTTGGATCACTTTATTAGAACTTAGTTTTCCGACAGAAGGATGCACTTAGCAGTTTCCGATTGATGATTAATAAAAATTGTGTTTACAATTCTAAAGAACAAAACAGAAATAGGGTATTTCAAAACAGAAACAGGCAATTTCAGAAATTCTAGTTTTTGTATTTGTTTACTTGTGTGAAAACATAATTTTTCAATTTAATAAATAGGTAATTTAAAAACGATTAACAATATAATCAACCATTGACAATGGTATTTTGCAAAATTCTTTAATATTGTACATTGTTGATCTTATACAAATAACCACGTGAATCTTAAAATCATGATACCTCTGGAATAGTGTATTGAAAGTATTTGATAGAAAACAAATAAAGCTAAATCAAAATAATGAACTTCATCATAAATCATGGTCATTTGCTCACTTAGAGAACATCCGGGTGTTGGGATAAATGATTGACATTTTGGTCTCTGTTATATTACCCCAAAGTCCGTCATTTGATGAAAAATTGATCATCTTCAGTTTTGTAAAGAACCCATGGGATTTCATATTAATAAAGTCTAACCTCAACTCAATTAATGAAGTCTAACCTCAACTCAATTAATGAAATCTAACCTCAACTCAAGGCTGTTCTGGACCTTTGGGGTAATGAAGCATACTTATATTCCAAAAAATATTTATTGACTGTTGGTCAGTGGATAGAAAAGAATTGTCAAGAGATGAATTAAGTCAAGGTGTTACATTAAACCAATATTCATTTCATTTTGCCATTTTATTCAGTGTGGAATTGACTACTATCAACCCAGTGTTTTACCTTTAAATTAGTCTTGCATTTTGACCCTCTTTAACATTAATCTACCCTTGAAAGAGCTAGACTTTGTTTAAACTCTGTAAACTAAAGATATCTTGAGATGACTTGAGATAACCATATATCCAATCAAGATACAGTATACTGTCTGCATTTAAGTTGCTGGTAAAAAACTGTGGAAACTTTGATGAGATTGTTATGATTTTACCTTGACGAGAAAACTGTGAAATCCCCTGTTATACTCAGAGTATAATATGGTTAGCTGATGTGAACTAAGGGTAATGAAATCTCCCAGTACAAATACCTACACCTGATATAAGCCTTGGATATAAGTTTATTTTTTACACCCTGGCTGTAAATCTGATTTATCTCTTCAAAGATATCGAAGCATGGCAAATGAATTTGAGGGAGGCTGTTATTGTAATGTAATTAGGCGGTGATTATAAGTCTCTAGGAAGTGATTTCACAATCTGCATCATTGAAAGAGTGCTTTATACGTTAATGTCCCCTTTATTATATTGTTATCATTTATGGGTTCATCGGCCCCCAATGCAAATCCTGGCTCCATATCACTGCATTGATAGCTTAAGTTAACGATGCTGTGTCAATAAATGTTGAGAGAAAAAGTCAAATAGACGTCACTAAGTGTCATTATATTGTAGTAAATTAGGTAAGGTTTTCTCGTTATGTTGTGTTTGTAAACAGGGTGTGACGCTGGAATTCACTTATGAATTTTAATTTATCAATCAGAGAGTGGAGTTGAAATTGACTGAGCCAATTAGTATACATCAAATCCTTCAGAAATATTATTAAATTACCGGGATGATACTGTATAAACCTATTTGTAGATAAGGTATATATATATAATGTGAATAGGTTAGCATAGTAGTATTATTAAGGATGCAATTCTGTATGGTAAAATGGCAAAAATTATGTCTCAGTTCAATTTTATTTTATTTTTTCATAATTTTTTATATACTCTGCTATAAAATCTTGCCACTAGATGCCCATGGGCATTTGTTGTGGTTTAACAGAATTAATTTAAAAAAATGTAATTAAAATTTTAATTATATTGAGACTACAATCCCATCTTAAAACTCACAAACAGAAGAATAAGTACCCTGATTGGGTAGCTGAATTTTGATCAACCTATTTCATTGGTTCATGCTATACCAAATATTTATCTCTTTCTCAAAGGAAGAGTATGAATTTTAAAGGAATTTTAAATGAAATTTAGCAATTGAAAAGGGTAATAAATAAGACAAATCATCATGTAAGTTAGCATGGGGGGGGGTAATTAAATGCAACAGCTTGATTAGAGACTTTTTGAATCTTAGTTTTGTTCAGGGATATGAAAGTCTAATAAGTTGTCCAATGAATAGAATCATATCAGATATTCATGTATCAGTAGTCTTAAGTCAATTGTTATGTCACCTCCACAAACTGTTTGGGCTTTTTTCAAAACAATTGCAATACAAGCAAGGGATTAACATGCAAAATGTCACTGTCTGCCATTTGTTACAGATGGCAAACTCCGAACACTAACCGTCAGTTGTTTTAAAGCAACTCCAAACCCAGTTGATGTTTGGCATTTGGTGTCTGTTATAAATGGCAGGTGGTGACAGTTTGCTTGTTAATGTCTTGTTTGTCTTGAAATTGTTATTTGACAAAAGCCCATGGCACCAGACTTTTCAATCACAAAACCACACTTTTGAATGTAAAAAATGAAAGTCTGTGATGACCAATTGGGAAAATCTAAACAGATATTCTTTTGCAGGCCAAGACCTTAAACATGTTCATGACGTGAAATAAAGCTTATTCCAAAAATGTTGTTTTATTGTACAGAAAACTTCAAAAGAAGATACATTTTCTAAGCAAATGATCTTTTGTTGCAGCCGCAGCTTCAGCATTCTCCCGAGATGCTATAGATGTTACATTGTGTCTTAAGCTCCAATCAATACCATTATTTAACAGATTTAATCAATTTATATTGTGTGCACAGTCTGATAATAATTCCCATGTATCCTTTGAGTTAAGGCCTGTGAGACGTTCTATTGGGTTTCTTTAATAAATCGTCAGGACGTTGTAATTACTGTAAAAGGGAAA